ATTAATATTATACTATAAAACACTCTTGGAGAGTTAATGTTTCTAAATAGTTGTTTGTTAGCTCCTGAAATAGTACATTATTAATATTCTAAAAGAATGTTAATTGTTTTAGAAGAGCGTGATATTACAATTTCAATATTTTAGAAGAATATTAATTCATTTATGAGTTAAAGCACGAATTATAATTTNAAAGAATATTACTTGCCCTTAGAGAGCATGAATTATAATTTTCAATATTTCAGAAAATTATTAACATATTGCTCTTGAAACAGTTATAATAAAGTATAACGTACTCTTAAAATTACATATTTAATTCTTATTAATATTCTAGTTAGATAATCTAACATAAATAATATTTTTACTCCTGAAGAGTAAATCCTTACATTATTTATTACTTTAAACAATGAAATGTAATTACTCGTAAAGAGCAGGATATTATTCTTATTTTGGAACGAAGTACGATTCAAATATTTGAATATTTCAGAAGATGTTGCAAAATTGTTTGAATCAATTAATACAAATCAATATTCTTGAAAAATATTATGTGGTTATTTTTTAAAAATCACAATTTAAACATTACAATTAAATATTGAATTGATCCTAGAGAATTGCAATTTTAATAAAATTGTTTCTAAAGAATCAATAGTTTATTTATATTAATATTCCTGAAGAATATTGGTTTGAGACTCCAAAAGAGTCAATATTGTGTGATATGAAGAGATAAATTTACTGTTGCTAGTATTTTATTCTCCATTAAATAAAAAAGAAACTTACAAAGTTTGTAATAGTATTTTTTTAATTGGTACAGTATACTAAACTTTAGTGACAATTTTGATAAATATTGTTTTGAACAAAAAGTTTAATAACTTTTATATTTTATTATTTAATATGTTCAGTTAGACCATCACTAGATCAAGAATGATGTAAAATTGAGAATTCTAATATTCAATGAAGAATCAGAAGATTTTTCAATCCAATGATTTCCTATATAATATTTGTTCTCTTTTATCGAAAATTGATCCTCACTAACTAAAATATGGATTAAATTCCATATATTTCTGAAATTAATTAGGGGGATAAATGGGGTACATCGTCCTCCATGTTGACCATCTAGATATTATTTGTATCTAATAGATTTGATACATATATTAGATGATTGCATGATATTCGTAACTTGAAGTTTACGAAATTACTGCTCAAATTATGAGCTTAATTTTCATATTATAATCAAGTTGTATCTTGTTAATGCTAGTGGACATAATTCTAACGTTTTAATAAGTGTTAGTCGGGATGTTAATAAATGGTTTAACACTATTGCTTATTAAACGCCTACAATTAATTTAAGTGAGAGTAAAGTACTTCTCATTTTCTGTTTAGGGAATGCTCTGATGCAGCATGTCAACATCAAGTTCTCCTTATTATAATTGGCTTATGGTCAGCCTGATTTTTTTCATCTAATGATTTGATAGTGCAATATATGTACATTTAACCCACCACATTGCACAAAGATGAAAAGTAAAGGATGATGAGTATAAATGTGTCATTTGAACCCTTATACCAAACAGGTGATATTTTATAATTCAGTAAAAATGATTATCAATTTGATTGAACAGTTCTCTCAGCATTAAAGGGAGAAATTAAGAAGTTGGAAATAATGTAAAATGCATCAAATCCTAGCAAAAGATAATTCAAACCAAAAGTTCGAAAAATAGTTTATTTAAATACATTTATTGACCAAAGAGATCAATAATATCTCACATACCAGCTGTAAATACTCCAAGTCGAATTAACGCCAGAAGTACAACTAGTTAATATTATTTTTGATAAATTTATGGCACGTCTAAAACGTGATGATATTTGATTATAATGTAAAAATCTCCAAACAAAAATGAAGCAATTAGAAAAGATGGTCCCATTATAAAGGCATCTACTCTTGATAAATATTTAGACATAACATACTATAAAATCTCAGAAGAGGTTCGGGTACTTGATATGTTGAAGATTGAGATAAATTAAGTCACTATGAGAAAAGAAATAGAATCGAAAAAAGAAATGAAATGATGTACTACATCATATTATAAATAGTGAAGAATCGAAATAAATTCGTTGAAACATATCGATCGAAGTAATGATTGACCAAATAAAATGACGTGATCATACTAAGTGTATATTTGATAGAATTTATTTAGGAATAATGAGTTATGGAATAGTATTTTTTTGGAGAATGTGTGGTTAAAAAGTAATGAAACTTTATTGGTTTGTGTGTATAATATTTTATTGTGTGAATGCATGGTGGAAAAATGATATTGTAGCAAACAATTTAATTTTTTAAAGGATGACAAATATGGCCTAAAATTGAATTTATTAGAGAAATCTAAAGTTTCTGGATCTACAGTCTGAACACCTTAAGGTGTATACTTATGCGAAATGAAAAGGATAATAAATGTGATTATAGTCAACTTATCTTATATAAATTTAATATTATCCCTACAGGATTTAATATGTCTGAAACATAATTCAAATGATATTATCATAAGTGGAGTAAATACACGTTATACTCTCTTTTTCTTGACCAAGGTTTTGTCCTATTTGATTTTCCTGGCAAAGTTTCTAATGAGGCAACTTTTATGACGTATTCAAAAGAATAATGTAATCTTTTCCTTCATTTAAATTTTTCCCATAAGTTTTTCCTAATAAGGTTTTAACGATGCATATTTTTTGTGTAATGATGTTCTTGACCTACAAGGCATATACCCTCATGATAACTCTTATATGTATAAGACTCATGAAGATATCTACAAGAACTATTTTTCAAATTATCATGTTACTATAGTAATCAAAGATTGATAAATATTTCGTATGAAGACGGCGTTATTTGAAGACATTAACTTACAAGATATCAATATTGAAGATATTGATATACAAGACATAAATTGCTTGATACAAAAATTGAAATCAGGAAGAGTAGCCGTACTCTTTTTTCTTTGATCAAGTTTTGTCCCACTGGATTTTCTTGACAAGATTTTAACGATACAACATTTTATTATTCCAAATTATTTGTACTCTTTTTTCATTTATTGGTATTTTTTCCATCGAATATTTGTCAAACAATGTTTCAATGAGATAGTTATTGTGCAAATAATCATCAAAGAGGGTGTTGTAAAATAATGAGATAGTTATTGATGATTATTTAATGTTATTATGATACATAGTTAAGTCTTATCCAGTGTAGAAAGTCTATTTCATTCCAATTATAATTCTCATTTTGAACCCTATAAATATGAGTTTTGATTATCAATAAATACATACTCGAATTTTGACTCTTTACTTCTCTCTATTTATTTTCTATATTTTTCTTTTATTCCTTCAAATTTATAACATATATGTATTTATTGAATTTTTTAGAACTTTTATGTACATAATCATTTGAAATAAATTTTTAAAATTTTATTTAAATGCTTGTTTTTTTTTTTTTAGTGTTTTTAAATTTTCACTAAAAATACTTAAAACGTCATAAATATATTTTGAGTTTTATATTATAAATTTAACCTTGTTTTCGAAAATACATTTTCAAAAAATATCAGACCAAATAAATTTTCAGTGTTTTGTAAAATTAAAAATTAAAAATTAAAAGAAGCTTGAAAATAGCAAACTAAACATACCCTCAATTTTTCTTCTTTAATAGCATAATAACTTTCAGATGTGGCATTGACCCAGACGAAGAGTTGGGGCACTCAGTTCAATTGCTAATCTGGTGGTTCGATGTACAAGTCCACTCCTATAAAATATAATAATAATTGTCACTCACTATATTAATCTTAGGTTATTTTACAACCTTTACTCCAAAAGAAAATGAAAGATTTTCAAGATGAAGTAATAATGTTTTGAATAGTACATTTTTGAAAAATGTTTGATTTAAAAGTAGAAAAAAATTGAATTTACATGTAAAATATTTTATCGTGTAAATATATAGTTAAAATTAAACTCCAGCAAAAAAAATTTTATATCAAAATTCCAGAATGGTATCAACTATCAACAAAGTGAAATCAAGAGACAAAAACCATATAAAGAAGAATTTGATAAAAACATAAAAATAGAAACCCATATAATTGATCTACACAAATCAAATTTGAAATAAAATAGTCTCCAAACTTTACAAAGGTAAACCCAAAAAATTATGTTATATCCAAAGAACTGAAAGTGACCAAACAGAAGACTCATGGGTATGTATCAACTTTTCCACAACACACTGAAGAATATTAAGAAAAATATTTAGCTCTGAACATTGAGAGATGCCCTCATCATTCATAAAATGGCTCCTCTCTATCCTTCCAAAATATAAGTACCTGCTCTTTAGCAAATCAGCAGATTTTAAGTACTCATGAAAATAGGTTGAATATTTGACAATTTTGGCCGTGAAAATTAGACTTTGAACAAATTAAACCATCAGAAATGTGCAAACATTAGGAAATGTCAACAGATCCAGTTCTATTGGTGCTGAATATCAGAACTGAGCTATCACACCCATGAAGAGAACAAATATAAAAGCCTCTCGTTAGCACAAATGGTTCAACATTGTAAAAGGGTAAACCATGTCTGAGACAAAATCCAATTTCGTTGGAAAATCCAAAATCAAATACAAAAAGAAAGTCTATAGCATAAATTGGAAGACTTAACACCCCCGTCAACCAATAATCATCCGGGACAAGTCATTTTCGTGAACAAGAATTACCAGGCAAAGGAGTATCGTAGTCAAATAAAGTTCTCTCTCACAAACCCTTCCCAAAAACAGGATTATAGAGACCTGTTTATAATTTAAGTTGCAACATGCCGAAATAGATAATACATTATCCAAAGAAACAAGTTCCAGCAACATTTCGTGGCCACCATTGCATGTCAAGTTCCAGTTGCTGATCGCTACTTGTACAAATGAGAGCCCATACAAGCCGGCATGAAATATGGAAATACCAACAGGACAAACACATTATGCAGCAACTAGGTCACTCTTGAGACTTATCTGTTTCCATGGGCTCCGCCGGTGATTCATTTCCAGATTCATTGGTGTTTTGGCCAGGGCTTGAGTTCGGGTTCTCAGCCCCCTGAGATTGGGACTCACCTCCTCCTTGGGATGATGCTGGTGAGGGTGTTTCAGGAGAAGCGGGCTTCACTGGCTTTGGCTTCATCATTATCGGCCTGCAAAATCTGTCAACGAAAGTTGCATTTTCATTGAAGACGCATAGTTGTAATGTATTAGATGTATATAGAGAACAAAAAAAACTGTTGTACTAGCAAGCTATTTAGCATCTTCCCCACTGTCTCAAAGATAGAAGAATAGCATTTAGACTGCAAACCCACAACTTTGAATAGAAACCGGTTCATAATCACTCAACAATTAAGTGAATTACCTATCAAGAGCTTCAGCTTTTTTCCTGACATCGGCTGAGAAAAGAACTGGTGTTGCATGCTTAGGAAGTGCATCCTGCTGCTGCTTTTTCTCTCTCAGCCATGCCTCAGCTTCGACACATTCATTCAAAACCTGGGAAAGGAAGACAGTAAATCACAATCCATTAATAGTTGAACCATTTGCGCATCACACGAGCCTACTTTCAAGGGGGAAGGGGAGGACGCCAGAGAGGATACCTTTTGCTTATCCGCCAAATCAATGTGATCAAATTTCGGATCATTTGACATAGCTGCCTCTCTGTAACTGTTGATGCAATAAATAAGTTGATCAATTATGGGTCCCCTCTCCATATGCTCCTTGAATCGCTCCTCTATGGGGTCACCTTGCTGCAGGATATTTATTTCAAATTCATAATACAGCGTCCTCTTATAAAGGTCAGAAAACAAAAATGCGGAAATCACTAACAAACAAACAAGATTACCTTCTTGAGTTCCTCCAGCTTAGCAATATAGACACCTTTGGTTTCATCCTCGCCATCCTCATACAACCAATCTTCCACCTCTAGGAGTTTAGCCATTAACTGCTCTCTCTCTGAATCCACTACGAACTCTTGATATTTGTCAGTAAGCTACAGAATTAAAAGAACAGTAAATACCTTCTATCTTCTAATAGTGAGCTACCCATGTTTGAAGTTCTGGCATAACAAACACTCCTAAAATATACCTTATTCCGCATATCATAAACATAAGCTTCCACAGCATTCTTTTTCTCCTTTGTTTCTTCCATAATACGGTCCTGCAAAGCCATCTCAAATTCCTTTTCCACCGCCTTTTGCACCTCTTCAGTTCCCATTCCTCCATACACTTGTTCTGAAACAGGCACACTAGTTCTCTTAACCTTTTTTTTCGGCACCTCCACCTGATGAACATAAACAAATTAGATATGTTTACTAGCCCATCGATAGATTTATATAAATTAACACCCTTGAAAGTCGGAGATTTCGGACAAAGTAGATATTCAAGACACGAATAGAATAAACCTACCATTGGAAATAGGTATCATTTCATTTATGGTATAGTTTATAATCTTATATTGCCAATAGAACATTAAGCCCTTGTTTGACAACCATTCTTTCTCATTCTTTGTTCTCATACTCATTTTCAACCACACATTCTCATAGTAAAATATTCTTCACAAACCCAAAATTTTTCCTTATTTTTTAACCACACACTCTCTCAAAATTTACTATTTAAAAACCCATTCTTTCCAAAAAAAAATTCTGTCATAACCACCAATTATGGCAACAACTAAGAATCGCAGACACACACAACAGGCAACATGGACACGCTGGCTACACGTCAAGGAAACATCGTTGAAAATTAATATAAAATTTTTAAATGTATTTTCTATTAAGAGTGTAGAGCAAATAGAGAATTGGAGATGATCAACTTTGAGGAAGATGAACAGCTAAAAAATGCATAATGAAGAGTTCTTTTGAAAAGGTAGATGTTTCAGAAAAGAATTAATAGAAAGAGAAGAAAAGTAGAATGGGCCAAAAATATTGAGAAAGAAAATGTACATGTAGATTCTGAATTTAATGGGCCAAAAATATTGAGAAAGAAAATGTACATGTAGATTCTGAATTTAATGGGCCAAACCTTCCTTAAACCCAATAAAAGAATAAAACCCAAATTAGCAAATTCAACACCCAATTTTAAAAAATATTTTTAAAACCAACCCGAGCATCGACCCTTGAAAAGATTAAGGGTCAAAAGGTTCAAACCGGGGTCAAACCAAATGCAATAAATAAATACACACACAAATAATAAAATATTATAACTACAATATTTTATTTAAAATTTTCATACAATTAATTCAAATTAAATAAAAATCAATTTTTTTAATTAAATTTATTATTATACAATTAATCTCGACACTTCAAGAACTAATAATCAATATATTGAAATCATTTGAGCCTATAGAAAAGAGTGTCTTAACATTATTATGCCAATAATGACGTGCATTTTAGGTTAAATTTAAAAATTGAATAAATAAAAAGATTGAGGTGAAAATTTCTATTTACTTTGTTGGCCCAAAATCAAATTAAAATTGAAAGCGAACAAGCAATCATTTGGAAAATAATTTTTACGGGAAATTGAACATGTAACCTATATTGGAAAGGTTCTCTCTAATTTGAATGGAGGTCAATATATAACATAGTAGGCAACTCGTTATTCATTTATGGGCCTTTCACTTTAGCGTATGGGCCCAATCAGAAAGTTAAAAAATTTTAAATTAGAAAACCTAAAAAAGGGGAAAAACCAGTAGCGGGTCACGGGTTCCTTCTAAACCGGCCGGTCAGACGGTTTCCAGGTGATTTTTTAACTAAAGGATTTATAATTAAAGCCGAACCAAATTTCGGTCCAGTTCCCGATTTTTCTGATTGAAACAACCGATCCGGTTTTCAAAACATTGGTTTTAGGTCTGAAATTTCATTTTACATTCCCTATCCACAGACTCGACGATCAACCGTCTCGAAAAAACCCTACTCTTGCATAACCCAGTATATCAGCTAGCTATCTCCTTCCCTTACTATCGCTAAACCCTTGGATGTCAATGATGTCATCTCTCATTCCCCCAAGGTTAGTTTATTTCATTCCCTTTTATTTCGATTATTTTGAAATTGATGTCATGTCAATGCCATCATACAAGGTAGATAAAAGGACACGCCACCTGGCGTGATTCAAGGGTTTTAGATGAGAGAAGAGTGAACGGGCAAGTGACTTTAGGGTTCCACTGGTTCCAAAGGCTAAAAGCCGGAGTAGTTGATCCAGTAGTTCTAAATATAGATAGAAGAATCCCGAATGAACAACCATCCACAAATGTCAAATCTTCATTCAAGGAAGAAAGTGCAACAATCCTTTCCTTTGACACTGGTCCCGT